AATTTTTTTAATATAAATTTATTTATTTTAGTTATTTATTTTTGGCTGCATTGGGTCTTTGTTGCTGCGTGCGGGCTTTCTCTAGTTGCCGTGAGTGGCGGGGGGGGGGGGGGGGGGGGGGCAACTTTGGGAGGTAACATGAGGAATTCTCAGGACATGCTAAGTTTGGGACGCCTCAACAATATCTAAGTGGAGATGTCCAAACTGGACCCCGAGTCAAGAGCTCAGAGGAGGCCCCGGGCTGGAGTCAGGACAGTGGGCATCATTGGGACATAGATGGGGTTCGAGCCCCAAGAGTGGATGAGACCGCCCGGACGGGGGTGTGGGTGGGGCCGGAGGACTCAGCCCTGGGCCCAGAGGCGGAGTCCCTGAGAATTTCGTAGGGGCAGGGTGGCTGGCCGGGTTAGAGGCTGCTGAGAGGGGGAGGGCGCAGACTGAGATGTGACCACCATATTTGGACACTGGGAGGTCACCTGTGAGCTAGGACGGTTCTGGGGACAGGAGGGGCGGTCCTAGTTGGTGCAGGTTTGAGAGAGCTGCAAGTCATGGAGTCAGGGAAGGGCTGTGGGTGGTGGTGGTTCATGTTTTTAAGAAATTACAGCTTGAAGGGGGGAAAATGGCAGAGGGGGTGGTGGTGGGATGCATTGGGAGATTGGGATTGACATATATACACTGATATGTATAAAATGGATAACTAATAAGAACCTGCTGTATAAAAAATAAATAAAATTCAAAAAAGAAAAAATAAAGAAATTACAGCCTGTCTATGCTGACAAGCAAAGAGGGAAAACTGGAGAAGGGAGAAAGGCTGAAGTGATGGCCGAGTTGGCGAGAGGGGCTGGGGGCCAGGGGATAACTGGGGGAGGGGGCCCGCAGCTAGCGCCCGAGGGTGACGCTGTGAGATAACAAGAGATCTGTTTGGTCTTCGTCCTGGTTCCTGGCTTGGAGCTCCCAGGACCGTGTAATTTCCTGAGTGATGGGGGAAAGGGGAGCCTCCTTTGTGGTTCATAATCAGCCCCTTTCCACCACGCCTGCGTGTATGCTAATGAGGGCAGGGGCGTGGCAGCTTCTGGTTGGGGGCTGGTGGCCAGGGGAACTGACCCTGGGATTACAGGGATGGAACTTTCAGCCCCACCCCTCAGGGAGAGGAGAGGGGCTGGGGACTGAGTTTATTGCCAATGGCCAGTGATTTGCCAAATCATGCCCACGTGATGGAACCTCCATTAAAAACCCTACAGGAAGGGCTTCCCTGGTGGCGCAGTGGTTGAGAGTCCGCCTGCCGATGCAGGGGACACGGGTTCGTGCCCCGGTCCGGGAAGATCCCACATGCCGCGGGCGGAGCGGCTGGGCCCGGGAGCCGTGGCCGCTGAGCCTGCGCGTCCGAAGCCTGTGCTCCGCAACGGGAGAGGCCACAACAGTGAGAGGCCCGCGTACCGCAATAAAAAAAAACAACTACAAAAACCCTACAGGAAGGGGCTTGGAGAGCTTCCGAGCAGGTTAAAAGCATCCACCCCAAACTCCACGGGGACAGAAGCTCCTGTGTTTCCGACCCTTCAGACCTCGTGCCTCTTTATCTGACGGTTCATTTGCCTCGTTTATGATAAACAGGTTAAGTAAAGTGCTTTCCTGATTCTGTGAGCCATTCTTGCAAATCATCAAATGTGAAGAGGGGGTGGTGGGAACCCCAATTCATAACCAGTCTGTCAGAAGTATGGGAGGTCCGGACTTGGGACCTGCATCTGAAGTGGGGGCAGTACTGCAGGACTGAACCCTGAACCTGGAGGGTCTGCACTGATTCAGGGTAGATAGTGTCAGAGAACTGAATTGAATTGCAGGACGCCCAGCTGACATCCACGGAGAATTGCTTGGTGTGGAAAATGCGTCACATGTAAAATTAGGTTCTCTTGTTAACACCCATTTTATAGAGCAGTAAATGGGCTGCTTGAGGCTGCATGAGGAGGCAGTAAGGGAGGTAGGTAGGATGGGCCCAGACTCTTTGTCACACCACTAAACCCCTTCCCCTATGCCCCCAACAGGAGTAGGTGAGGATGAGGTTTGGAGAGGGCCAGGATGCAGGGCTGTTCCCCCTCAACCCCTTTGGGGGGTCTGGCTGGGCAGATTTTACCCCTGGGAACTGATGTGAAACAGGGCCACAGGCTTGTGTCCGTCACACAGTGTCTGGGGCAGGGCAGATCCCAGAGCTGAGCTCTCCAAACACCCTGGCCCCCCGCACTTAGGATATGTTCCTTTAGAACAGCAGACCCTCACCCCAGAGGCCCCCCAACACACTCTGAGAGTCATCGCTTGGCAAAAATAATTTAATAGTCCATTTGGGGAATGTCCTGGGACCTGCTTGTCCCTCCCTGAGTTCCAGCCCAGGCCACCCCACCCAGGGACCACCTGCCCACCCCAAGGACAGCTCTCTGACGCCCCCAGACCCTGCCCAGGCCCAACGGGGACGGGTTTGCCCATAGCACCTTTCCCTGCACCCCCTCATTCCTAGAGAAGCTGGGCCACAGCACCCCAACCCCCCAGAGCACAACCCTGTCCCCGGACCCCCTAGATACCCCTCCCATGCCAACACTGCAGCCCTGCACTCAGAGGGGCAGAGACTTCAGCCTGGCCCCCGGGAGCCTGCAGTCCACTCAGGGGTTCAAGATGCGAAAGCGGCTGGGAGGCAGGGAAGCGAGATGCAATTCATTCCAACACGGTTTTTGGGCAGAGTCCTCGAGGGAGACAGCTGGGCGCGGCCCTATGAGGGGGGTGGGCGCAGGTGCTCCAGCCCGTCTGCGTACTGGAAGGCCGACCCTGTCTCATACTCGTACATGTCTAGGGCCACCTCGCAGCTCTCCCGCACCACGCGCTCGGGGTCTGCCGCGTGGGCCCGCAGGGCGGCGAGGCAGGCGGGCCGGGCGATGGCCCCCAGGGCCTCCGCGCACTCATGCCGCACCATGGGGTTCTCGGCGGGTCGCGCCAGGGCCGCCGCCAGCTGGGGCACGGCCGCCTCGTGCTGCAGCTGGCCCAGGACGTAGCCGATCTCGTGGCGGAAGAGGGCACTGCCGCAGCACAGGCCTGCGGGAGAGAGAGTTGCGGGCTGGGGGAGCCATCGGGACAGGAAGGGACCTGGGGCGGGGCAGCCTGGGGACAGAAGTGTCCAGGAGGGGTGGAAAGGGTTCCCGTCAAGGACACCCCGCCCTGGTGCTCAGCGCTGCCCAGAGGGATGGCCCGGAGACACGGGGCAGGAGAAGCAGCGAGGGGCCAGCCAGGCACTGGGAACTCCGCCCTCCCTCTGGCTGGACCGGGCGTGGCCTCCTCCTTCCCAGGCCCAGCGTCCCTCCCGGCCTCTCCCTGGACTTCTGTACTCTGCGTTGTCCTCACACCAGCCAGTGCTATTTGCAGGCATGTTGTGCATTTGTGCTTCTCGGTTGCTTCCCACACGACTCCACACATGATAGAGTCTTATCAGTGACACTGGGAGTCCCGGGCCTTTCACCCCACCACAGCCAGACAGGCCACGCTTCTCGTGATGGGGACCCGTGGCCGGACCTGGGAGCGACCTGCCTGCGATCAGATGCCACTTTTCAGGCAGAGCTGGTTTGACGCAGGCCCGCCAGACTGTGCGGCCCCTGCTCCGAGCATTATCCAGGACAAACCCACCACCCACCCACTCTATGCTCCCACCCGGCATCCCCTGGGTCCTGGGTCATGGTGATGGCCGGGCATCTCCTCTGCCAGACAGGAAGCTCCAGGAGGGCAGAGGGGAGCTCTGAGTGCTCTGTGGACCAGAAGCAGACCACCTCAGGCAATGCAGGGGGGGGGGGGGCCAAGGGACCCCCGGATTCCCCAAGTCCCCCCCTCCTTTTCAGGTGGGGGAACCACAGCCCCGCAGGCTTGCACGGGGCTCCCTGCAGAGCTGGGATGAAAATGACACAAGTAAATGATGACAGGGCCTCTGAGGAATTCCCTGGTGGGCCAGCGGTTAAGACTCTGCGCTTCCAATGCAGGGGGCGCAGGTTCGATCCCTAGTCGGGGAACTAAGATCCCGCATGCCTCGTGGCGTGGCCAAAAAAATTTAAAAAACAAAACCGAAAAAAAACAGGGCCTCTGGGGATCAAATCCCAACTCTGCTGCTCGGACCACTGTGTGATCTTGGGCAAGTATCTGTGCCTCTCTGGGCCTAGGCTTCCTCCAAAGAGAAGAGGGGGTAATAAGAGGAGTACCTGCCCCAGGATGCAAGTGCCCTGGGACGCTGGGCTGCCCCGTATGACAGATGTGGCCACTGGGCCTCCCCAAGGGGCCCCGACCCTGCCCCCCGGGGCCCGTCCTCACCCTCGGCCAGCGCCAGGGCAGCCTCCTCCCCGCCAGCGTCGCGCAGGGCGAACATGGCTCGGTATCGGTCGAAGAGCGGCCGGGCCTCATCCAGCAGCGCCACCCGCAGCCGCCCCACGTCGCGCTCCTCAGCGGATGGGGCCGGATCCACGGAGAGGTAGGGCCCCTGAGCCACCGGCTCCCCGCTGTGCTGCTGCAGCCACTCCAGCCGCCGGACAGCCAGCTGGCACGTCTCTGCCACCTGCGGGGACAGGGGGGTGGATGTGCCGGGCCCTCCCCCAGCCCCCAGCGCTTCCGGTTTAGCAGGGGTGGAGCCAACAGACACAGGACCAACTGATCCTTCCAGACTGGAGACAAACCAGCAGGGGTTGCTGTGACTAGAGAGTGACCAGGGGCAGAAGGCCAGGAGGGGCTAGCTTGAAGGTGACATCAGAACCAGTGAGAGAGGCGTCAGGTGGAATCAGCCAGTGCAAAGGCCCCGAGGCAGGACGTGCCGGACCCGTCAGGGAAGAGCCAACAACAGAGATGACCTGAGGTGGCTGGGCCAGACTACTTGGGGCCTGTGGGCTTGGGATTTTGTCCTAAAGGTGATGACAAACCGTGAGTCTTTAGGCACAGAGTAGGTTAACAGATGATGGAGAAACAAATGTGGTCCCTCCACACACGGGAACATCACTCAGCCATGAAAAGGAGAGAAGCCCTGACACTCGCTACAGTGTGGATGGACCCTGAGAACACAATGCTCAGTGAGAGAAGCCAGACACAGAAGGACCCACGGTGTGTGATTCCACTGACGGGGAACATCCAGAACAGGCAGATCCATAAACACAAAGAGTGGGTTCATGGTTGTCAGGGGCTGGGGAGGGGGTGGGGAGTGACTGCTGATGGGGACAGGGCTTCTATTGGGGTGATGGAATGCTCTGGAATTAGATAAGAGGTGATGATTACACAACACTAAGAATGCATTAAAATCCACAAAATTGTACGTTTTGAAAGGGTGAACTTTGTAGTATGTGAATTCTACCTCAACCAAAAAAGCCAGGTGACTAAATGGCTTTTAATGATGTGGAGAAATGAGGTGCTGGCTAGACGGTGAGGAGGCTGCAACGCCCCCCCAAGCAGGACGTCCTTCCTGTGGTCATAACACAGAGAAACAGAACGAAACTGGACAGGCTGTTGGGGTGAGGGAGCGACTATAACCGGACAGAAGGGACGTTCTGGACAACCCCGATCAGAAAGAAGCACAGAAATGAGACTGGAAGAGACAAGCCAGCGTGTCACCGGCATGTCTGTTGCTGAAGCCCCCGCCCCGCCGGGCACTCACCTCCCCATAGACACGACGTAGCGAGGCTCTGGCATCTGGTCATAGACCTGGAAGAGACAGGGGTCTGTGTGCAGCTGGAGCCTGGGGCGGGGGCGGGGCTGGGAGGAGGGGAGGGAGGGAGTTGGGGGAGGGGACTGGGGGGGTTGGCGGTGGGGCCCACCTTGCGGAGCGCGGGGGCCATCTTGTTGGTGAGCGTCCCAGCCACAATCATCACGTCGGACTGGCGGGGGGGGGGGCGGG